TACCAACCTCAATCGAAACTCATTGGTATAATGAGACATTTATGATTTCAATGAAAACGTCATTCTGAAATTCAATGAAATCGAAAATAATATGCGACATATTGGTGATGAATTTGTTGGCAAATACGAGTTTATTCGTTCACGTATTCTGTTCATATATTCGAATATTGTAGTCGAATACCAAATATAATCGAGGCTTCCCAAAGAGGTCAGTTGCAAAGCCAAGCTTCGACATTGACCTTCTCGTTTATCTTAGACACTGGGGAATTGAGTTCTCTGTCGATCCCATAGCTGACGTCTTCGTGAGGAGAGATGTCAGCACCATGTCTTGCCCAGACTCATTTTTTAAGGGCAGTTGAATCCAAATATGCATTGGGTAAGGGAGCCAGGCTCCAACCTGCCCGTAATCAAGATGGCTATCGGCGCAAATATGCATTGGTGGTTTGACCTAGCACCTGAGATGAGATATTAGGTCGAAACCGCGCTATTTGGTGATGGATCACGAGTGTTTCAGTGTTTTGTTTTCAGGCTCTAGTTTTATATTATATTAAGGCCGCAGAGGCTAAGAAGTCTCCGGGGATCGACTCAATAACTAATAGGTTGTTGAAGAGGCTTCAAGAAAACCGCGTCATAACGATTTTGAACATCATCAATAGTTGACTGGCCCACAACTACTTCCTCAGATGGTGGAAGCATGCGATCGTCGTTATGCTCCCAAAATAGGATCAAGACCGGCTGTTCCCACAGAACTATCGCCCGATTAGTCTACTCTCCTCAACAGCTGAGCTGGCTGAAAGAGTCGTTCTGCAAAAGCTCAAGTAAGAAATTGTGGACCGAAATGTTCTGCCTGATGAACAATTGGGTTCCCGGAGGAAACACTCCACTTAGTTGCAGGCTCTGAGACTGGTCGAAAACACCGTCAAAGAGCGAAGAGGAAAGAACGAAATCTTCTTCGGCTATGAAAGTGAGGGTCTCCGAAAGGGAGATCGACTGTCAAGCGCGAGCAAAATATCTCAGTCTTCTGATAGACCGTAGGCTCACCTGGACTCCGCATTTTGAAAACGTGAAAACAAAGATCGAGGGACCGATCAGAAGTCTGTAAATAAATAGAAATTCCAGGTTAGGCCTTTAAAATGAAATTAAGATGTATAACACGATGTTCAAGCCTGTCATTATAAATATATGCTTCAGGCTTTGGGGACCAGCGGCTCCGCCGAAGCTCTCCGTTTTGGAGAGATTGCAAAATGAGTTAATTCGGATGATAGAGAATGTTCCGTGCTTCGTACGGAATGAAATCATTCGCGGATGAATACTTTTCTCACCCAAAATCCCCAGCCAGGTAGGGGTACACCGTGGAGGGCGGTGCGGATGTCTGAGGACCTTCATCTTCATACCATCATCAATCACCAGTCAGTTGTGTCTCGTTTGTCCTCCTGACGATCACACGTCGTAAAAGTGAGGGAGCTACGCTCCAGCCTGTTTGAATTAAAAGAGGTTTGTTCTGGTTCTACGAAATTCGGGTTCTAGGACGTCAGGACCATGCGCAATTGATATAGAGCGTTCTGGTTTATTGAGGATAATTTCGGACTGATGAATCCTCTGTTCTGGTTTCGACTGCGAAATGATCCTAAACTGTTTCGAACCGTCCTGAATCGTTCTTGCTCTCGAGGCTGAACTGTTGAGAACTGTTTCAGTTGCTCATGCAACTGTGGAAATTTGTTTGGGCTATTTGCTAGGATGTTTTTTTAATTATTTGATTTGAATAATTGATGATTGACGGTAGATAACATTTGAACTGACTAAAAGGATACGTTACATAACAACATGAACATGATCAATAGTATTTTCTCGTCTTCATCTCTTCATATATACGATAGGTGGCACAGTGGTCTCCTCAAAAGCGTTCTGGTTTAAACAAGATTTTTGAAAATAACAAAAAATAAGTTATTTGCACGAAATTCGGTACCCGGGGTGTTTTTGACGTGGGATATCATAATTTCGTATTCATTTTCATATAATATCTCGAGGGCGCTGCGTACGCTGTCATTATTAAATTCAAATTGCCCTAACTTTTTTGACAGTAAACTTTTGATACTTTTCATGAAAAAACCTAATTTCCACACCTCTTCCAAGTAAAGAAGGTACACTTCCTCAGAAACGATGGAGGTGATCGTTTTCAAGATATTTACAATTTTCTATATCGATGCATACTACATAGCTCCTAGGGCGCTAAGTGAAGTTGCTGAGAACATTACAAAAACTAAGTATGTGGTGGATCTTGTCAAAATAAACATCTTTTTCCTATAAAATGTTTAACGAAGAATGTAGAGAGGTGCGTTTTTGTCTCGATTAGCATGTTTTCTTTCGTTTGATTTGCTCTAAGTTACCAATCTGTGATAATGTAAAAATATATTGTTTCTGAGAGCAGAAGGGTTTTTGGATATTATGATGGGATCTAAATCATTCATAACTTTGCACAGCCTATAGAGAGGTCCATTTTTGCCAAGATTAGTTGTAAGCTTTAGGGAGAGCAAATAGAGGTGTAGTTCTGTGATTATAATTAGATTGCCTAACCCAATTTTTCCAAGAAATAATAGTAATAATAATAATAATAATAGCTTTATTGTCCAACAGTTACCCATTTACAGGACAATATAAAATTTTATTCACAATACTTAACTACAGACGAAAAATAAAATGATCAAGAAAGAAAAACTAATTCTAATTACCTACTTCACGTACATGTTAGCAATTCTAATAATGTTATGAAGGTTAGTGAAGAATAAATCACCATGGGCTCAAATGCTATTGAAATTTGTGCACATAACATATATTGGGGAATTGAGCATGTTAGTTCTTGGTGCTCTGAGAGGTCTAAAGATGGATTGAGATCGTGAAGCTGGCCGTGGTACATTGAAGTTAATTTGTGCAAGAATTTTAGGACAGTCAACTCTCTCATTCACTGACTTGAATAAAAATATGACCGACGCATAAGAGGAAATACGAGGAGTCAATTTCATTATTAAGTAATTTGTACATAAATAGTGCAGAAGAAATTTCTCGCCTGTGCTCTAGTTTGATGAAATTAAATTCTCTCAAAAACGTCACGTAAGGTATATCAAAGCAGTGCAATCCAGTTTTCGAAAATAGAGATATGTTAGAAATGTTTTCTGAAACTTTTCAATTTAATTTTTATATTTTTCGTAGTACGGTGACCAGACGATAAAGGCGTACTCTAGAATGCTCCTGACGTAAGTGTTGTATACCATTATCAACGTTTTCATATCTGTGAATCTACATTCTACAGGAATGCCTAACCACGAATTCCAAGATTGAGATCGTGAAGCTGGCCGTGGTACATTGAAGTTAATTTGTTCAAGAATTTTAGGACAGTCAACTCTCTCATTCACTAACTTGAATGAAAATATGACCGACGCATACGAGGAAATACGAGGAGTCAATTTCATTATTAAGTAATTTGTACATAAATTGTGCAGAAGAAATTTCTCGCCTGTGCTCTAGTTTGATGAAATTAAATTCTCTCAAAAACGTCACGTAAGGTATATCAAAGCAGTACAATCCAGTTTTCGAAAATAGAGATATGTTAGAAATGTTTTCTGAAACTTTTCAATTTCATTTTTATATTTTTCGTAGTACGGTGACCAGACGATAGAGGCGTACTCTAGTATGCTCCTGACGTAAGTGTTGTATACCATTATCAACGTTTTCATATCTGTGAATCTACATTCTACAGGAATGCCTAACCACGAATTCCAATATCCTATACCCTCTATTGATTATTGTATTCACATGTTAATTGAAATTGAGTTCTCTGTCGAAGTAAACACCTAGGTCTTTCACAACATTTCTATCAGCCAGAATATTATTGTTTATAGTGCATTCGAATAGAATTTTTGTTTCTTGAAAAAGACACTGCTTCGAGATCTTCTTGCAGAATATGACAATCATCGATTTGATTGATCTTTCTATATAATTTGAAATCATCTGCGAAAATCAAACATTCTGATGATCTTATACAGTTTGGCAATGTGTTAATCAAGCATAAAAAGAAAAATGGACTCAAGTTGGAGCCCTGGGGTACACCTGAGCAAGTGATACATTTTTCCGAACAACCCCTTTGAATACCACATATTGTTGGCGGCCCTTTAAATAAGATGCGCATAGTTCTAAGATTTCAATTGAAAATCATAGCTTACAGAAACTACTAAGCAAAATGTCCTGGTCGACCTTGTCGAATGCTTTTGAAAAGTTTTTATATATAACATCTAGTTGTCCAGCAAGGTCAAACACTTTATTTGCGCTTTGAGAAAATTGAATAAGGTTGGTAACTGTCGATTTTTTTGATGTGAAGCCATGTTGATTATTCGATAAATTAGGTCCAACGAATTCTACCATTTTTAAATATAAAAGTGACCAAAATACCTTACTGGGTACACAAAATAACGCAACAGGCCTATAATTCATTATCTGATTTTTATCACCATTTTTGAATATGGGGGAAACTGCTCAGTTTCCATGATTCTGGATGAACCTTGGTATTCATTATAAGATTATGAGATTGAATACAATTTATGGGAGTTTTAGTGACTTTTTGGGTTTCAGACGTTTTATGACAGACGTTTTATGACATCAGATATGGCTCCTATTCGAAAATTATTCATGATATTTCGCTATTGCGAAACACGTGCCGCGAACTTTCAAGTATCGGTCAGGTTTATCATAATTTTCAAAGTCTATTGAATTAAGTGACAGTTGTCCATTTTGGAGATCATTTAAATGATGTTTCAAAATCAAATAATTGAACCATAATGGTAATACATCAATAAATTTATCACCAATTGGTGATAAATTTATTGATGATAGTTTTTCTTATCTTGGTCACACAGTATAGTCGACTGAAAATGCTAATGAAGTGATAGTGAAAGTCAATGCGTATTTCATTATATTATGTTTTCAGCAGTCATTCCACCAATACTGACTGAGTAGCGCCTACTAATTTTTTCGTTTCAGATTTTAAGCGATGGTGGTACCGCCTGAAAGTAACAATTTGTTAGAAAAAATTACGGAAACCGAAATCCGAACCTACAAGAAAAGATGGGTTATACTTATAATATACAACTTGTATAGTGCGGCGAACTCTTTTCAATGGTTGGAATACTCGATCATAACGAATATTGTTATGAAATTCTATGACGTTGACTCTCTGGATGTGGACTGGACATCCATTATATACATGGCGATATACCCATTTATTGTCATTCCGGTATCTTATATCATTGAGAAAAAGGTTAGTTGCATTTTACTTGTGATATTATTGGAGAAAATGTTAACTAAACTAGCAGTTGCCAAAAACTTCGTTGGCGTAGACTTACTTAAGTTGTTGGAATTTCCTAGATTTTCCTAAAGGCCAAAGTTTCTTCGTATGTTTACTCATCTTTGATTTATAAGGACCAACTATAAATATAGTCACAATATCAACTAAATGAACTCAACGGTATCTTCGTATTTTTTCCAAAAAATGTTTGATGTGATTCTTTAAAGTGATTTTTGTTTTTTATTAAAATAAATTCAAACTCCAAAAGTTGAGTGAAATTCAGCACAATATAATAGTTGAAACCGCGACCAAATCGGTCAACATATTTTTTACACAGACAATAAATGAAATAAACTCATAGATCAGTAATGATTTTTTTAACTAGACAGATTTGTAAGACATTTACTGTCGCAGCAATGAAACTGTCCAAAGAAGTAAATATGTTTTTCTGCCGTGTGAAAAATATAATTTCATCTCCGATCGTTTATACGGTGTGTTCAAAAAATCGAATTTAAATTAAAAATAATAATACCCACTATAATTACAAAGATAAAAGCGGGTTATCGAGCGAGTGGAGTAAACCTGGAAAATTGTTCGCACATATACGTGGCGGCGCCAACCCAACCGACGGGATAAACGGTATGATAGCCGGTTGGGTTGGCGTGAGTAGTTTGTTTCATCGTCAAGTGAAACGATAGTTTGAGCCAAGAGGCCGGATAATTGATTTTCACTGCCGATCGTCGAATCCGTGCTAGGAATCGCACGTTGAAAGGTGAGACCTCGTTAATACTAAGTTCGCACATGTTTGGATTTTTTTAAATTATCGTTCGTGAGAGGAGAGGGACAGCTGGTTAACGAAGAAACAGATTTCAACAGATACACAACAATCATTGATATCATAGATATCATTGTTATGATCTATGTTACGTAATGTGTTATGTTCTATGTTTTGATTCAATCATTGATATTAGAGTTTATCTCACTATAAAGTGATACTTGAAAACACACAGCAATCAGTTACACTTTTATTATATTAGATGGGCTGAAATGTTTCTCGGCTAACACACAGATAATAATTATAATAATAATAATACCCAACAGTTAAAAACTATTCACAGGGTTAACTAAATATGTTAAAAAAAG